GCCACCAGCCCAAGCCTGGAGCTGCCAGATCTCATGTTGCTGGCCCGACCCGGCTCATGCTTAACAGGGCAGTACCAGTGCGAGTGTCCCAATCCTGAAGCATCGCCAGGCCCCCGACGATGAGCTGCAGCTCTTTGGGTAAGTCCCTTTCTCAGCACTTACCACCCAGTCCTGGAGCATCCCTACAACTCGGAGGTAAGTCCCAAAGGTTCCAGTGGGTCTTGCTTTTAAGGCAGTGTGTTCTGTTTTCAGGCCTGTGTTCCCAGGGTTGCCGCCTTAAATCATGGTGTAGGAGAAAGTCTGGAATCTCGAGGCTGCCTGGAAGTTCTGCTTCCAGATTGTGTAATCTTACCCGCTTACCATGAATGGGGAACCTGTGGGAGGGGTGTTTTCTTAATAATGTATTATAGAAGGTGGTTGTTTTACTGATGGTTTGCAATTGTTCCACTGGTGGTTTGCTAATTTTTTTATACAATTTATGTTGTGATCGTGATCTTCCATTATGTCATTGTTATTTGTTGTTTGTAAGCTGCTTTGTTAACTCGCGCTGGTGAAAAGTGGCATAGACAAAACATACAGTGGTGGCTCGCAAGACAAAATTAATCCGTTCCGCGAGTCTCTTCGTCTTGCGAAGCACGGCTATTAGCGGCTTAGCGGCTTAGCGGCTATTAACGGCTTAGCGGCTATTAACGGCTTAGCAGCTTTAAGAAAAAGGAAAACAAACTCGCAAGAACTCGCAAGACGTTTCGTCTTGCGAAGCAAGCCCATAGGGAAATTCATCTTGCGGAACGACTCAAAAACGGAAAACCCTTTCGTCTAGCGAGTTTTTCGTCTTGCGAGGCATTCGTCTTGCGGGGCACCACTGTAAATGAAGTTAATTGGGCCAGAGGGAACCTTATTGGCTACCCAGACATAGAATCTAAAAAACCCTGCAGACCGGAGGTTCCTCACGACTGAGGTAGATGGATCAATGGTACATAGCAGCTTCAGAGGACTTGGGGTACAGGTGGCAAAGCAAGATGAGATTTCTGGGCCTTCTCAGAAGGCCCTATGGATAAAGACAGTCTCTTAACAATTTTCATCTGCTTGACCAGCTTGTATTTTCTCCAAATCCTGCCTTAGCCTTGCTATCTTTGGACATAGACCTAAACTCCACCCTGCACCACAGAGAACTGCAATCATACCTTGGAAGTCAAATGGAATACATTCCGGAAGTTCGTTTGACTTCCAAAAGGTTTGGAAACCAAAGCGCGGCTTCTGACTTGCAGCCAATCAGGTCGGTCGAAGCCCCATCAGACGTTCAGCTTCCAAAAATAGTTCACAAACCGGAACAGTCAGTTCCAGGTTTGCAGCGTTCAGGAGCCAAAATGTTTGAGAACTAAGCTGTTCAAAAACCAAGGCACAACTGTACTAGGCTTCTTACTGACCACAGCACCATAAGCAATAGCTGAGCGACGGAAGATCCAGACTGAAATACCCCTGAATATACGGGAGAATAATATCTGGGATATAGCGATGCCCAAGTGTCTTACCAGACACAGGAGGGCAGTTAAAGGCATCACGAATAGAGACACCTTCCAAGACACAGGGGCCCCTTTCCTTAACTACGTTAATAACCCAAATCAAGACCTTGTTATACCAACCACTCAAGACTCTCAGTGGAGAGGTTACATTTGAATGTTGAATGTGTAAGTGTATGTCTAAAGACAATGGATACAACAAGCACCCTTAGATGTAATAATAATAATAATAATAATTTATTTATATCCCACCCTCCCCAGCCAAAGCTGGGCTCAGAGCGGCTAAACAACAATAAAAGTAACACAGAATTCTAAAATCAATTCATTCTAAAATCAATTCAAAATCAAATTAATGGCAACCATTGGGCTAGAGATCTATGAGGAAAGGGCCTGGTGGAACAGCTCTGTCTTGCAGGCCCTGCGGAAAGATGTCAAGTCCCCGCAGGGCCCTAGTCTCTTGTGACAGAGCGTTCCACCAGATCGGGGCCACAGCCCAAAAAACCCTGGCTCTGGTTGAGGCCAGCCTAACCTCTGTGTGGCCCGGGACCTCCAAGATGTTTTTGTTTGAAGATCGTAAGCTCTTCCATGGGACATACCAGGAGAGGCGGTCCCGTAGGTATGAGGGTCCTAGGCCGTATAGGGCTTTAAAGGTTAAAATCAGCACCTTAAACCTGCTCCTGCTCCACCGGGAGCTAGTGCAACTGGTATAGCACCGGGTGAATGTGATCCCACGGCGAAGACCCCGTAAGGAGTCTCACCGCGGCATTCTGCACCCGCTGGAGTTTCTGGGTCAGTCTCAAGGGCACTGCTAGGTAAGTATTTAATGGCTATTGTGTTTGTTTAAAAGCAAATAAAAATTGTTAACCAAAAAAGACTAGGGTAAGCCTAAGCGGCTTGAGGGTTTTCAGGCTGATCCCCACCAGCACTTTGAGCTGAGACTACAGTGCAGCAGGGAGCACCCAGGTGGAATGGCAACCGGTGACCACGGCCTGATATCCGGAGCTGCCGCTCTGATGAGAGAGAGTAGCCCTTTTGTGCCATAGGAGGGTCTTGGGGAGCAGTGTCTCACCCTACCTTCTCCTGTAGGGACGCGGGTAGCGCCGTGGTATAAACCACTGAGCCTCTTGGGCTTTTAAATATACTCAGAGTCGAGAGTGGATTTCATGCTTTTTATTCAGCTCATAGTGGTGAGGAGGAATGGAAGTTCCCCCACAATATCTGCTTTATATACATTATTTACACAATGGGCTGCACGTGATTAGCTAATTCTGGGATTCTCCTGTAGGCCAATCAGGTTGTGGATTCACTTCCACCTGGAGCTGGATTGGGTGGCTCATGTGGACCAATCATACTGCTGCATTGTTCTAGGACCAATCAGACTGCTGCATTCTGAATCCTATTGTTCTAGAACCAATCAGACTGCTGCATTTTGGATCCTATTCAACTCGGTACATAACAGGCTTGCCGATCGGAAGTTCGGCAGTTCGAAACCCCACGATGGGGTGAGCTCCTGTTGCTCTCTCCCAGTTCCTGCCAACTTAGCAGTTTGAAAGCACACCAGTGCAAATAGATAAATAGGTACCACTGTGGCAGGAAGGTAAACAACATTTCCGTGCACTCTGGCACTTGTCATGGTCCTCCGTGCACCAGAAGCGGTTTAGTCCTGCTGGCCACATGACCCAGAAAGCTGTCTGTGGACAAACGCCGGCTCCCTCGGCCTGAAAGCGAGATGAGCGCTGCAACCCCATAGTCGCCTTTGACTGGACTTAACTGTCCAGGTGTCCTTTACTTTTACCCTTTACTACCTTCTCCCGATGAGCACACTTCTTTCTCCTCCGCCAGGCTTCTGCCCTTGAAGTTTGTCCGGATCTACATCCACGACGAGACGCGATACCAGCTCAAAATCCGCCTGGCCAACGGCCGCACCTTTTACCTGCAACTTATGGCACACCCCCTCAAACAAGAGCATGTCTTTGGGCAGTGGGTACGGCTGCTCTACCGCTTGCGCTTCCACCAATCTGACGCTCCAGTGGCTTACGAGCAAGTGAACCAGCAGAGCCGGAGGCCCAGCAGACAATAGCAGGTGAGTCTTGGCTGGCTTCCCAAAGAAGCCAACCGATCCCTGGCTCCCGATTCACCAGGTGCACCAAAGAACGAGGAAGCATCCAGATTCCTGGGGATGATGGTACATCAGGGGAGAGAGCAGAGGAGAGCAGTGGCTGCTCCTTTGGGCAGAAGGTGGCATGTGTGCAGAAAGTCCACCACCAGCAACGAGCCTGGGAGTGCATACCCTCCGACATTTCTCTGAAAGCATCCTATTTATTTAATAATAATAATAATAATAATAATAATAAAATAATACCCCACTTATCTGACTGGGTTGCCCCAGCCACTCTGGACAGCTTCCAACATATATAAAATATAATAAAACTCTAAACATTAAAAAAAACAAAAACTATCCTATACAGGACTGCCTTCAGATGTCTTCTAAAGGTTGGATAGTTACTTATCTCCTTGGCCTGGAGGGTCACATAGCTCCATACCCTCCAACATTTCTCCAATGGAAATAGGGACATCCTATGGAAAAGCAGGACATTCCAGGATCAAATCAAAAACTGGGACGGTTTCTGTAAATCTGGGATTGTCCCTGGAAAATGGGGGCACTTGGAGGGTCTGGGAGTGGCCATGTTCACATCCGCACCTGGCATTTAAAGCACTCCTATACCACTTCCCCCAAGGAATCCTGGGAACTGTTGTTTGTTAAGGATGCTGAGAGTACAGTGGTACCTCGGGTTAAGTACTTAATTCATTCCAGAGGTCCGTTCTTAACCTGAAACTGTTCTTAACCTGAAGCACCACTTTAGCTAATGGGGCCTCCTGCTGCTGCTGCGCCACCAGAGCACGATTTCTGTTCTCATTCTGAAGCAAAGTTCTTAACCTGAGGTACTATTTCTGGGTTAGCGGAGTCTGTAACCTGAAGCAAATGTAACCCAAGGTACCACTGTACCGTAATTAGAAGACCCTTCACAGTTACAATTCCCAGCACCACACTGGGAACCAGTTGTGACCACTCTGGAGAACCAGTTGATGAAGCTTCCAAGTTCTGAGGCCCAGCAAAGCATAGGCTTTGGCCAGGCAGTCAACAAAGGACCGCTAGGCCTGAGTATTATAGTTTCTGGGGAATTTTGACTTCTCAAGTGCACTTTAGGATGTTCTCTATCGTTCGTCTTCCTCCTACATCTGTCTCCCCCTCTCTCTGTTTTCCTTTGTGCTTTGTATCAGGAGGAAAAGAAAGCGTGTTCTCCAGGTGAGGAAGAAGACAATGACTCTTGGGGAAAACAAGGATTTCTTTTATCTGTCCCCCGAAACTAATACAGAGGAAGGTCCCCCTCCCTGGCAGGCTGCCTGGCCCTGGACACCGTTCCTCCTCATGTGAAGTCGTCGCAACGCGCCCAAGGAGGAGACCGCACCCCCGTTTCTTCCCCCCTCACACACACAATAAAACCAGTGAACACAAATGCTGTCTACTCGGCTGATCTTTGGCCGTTCCATCCCCCCAGACCAGCCTCAAAACTCAATCATGGATCCCCTTCTTCAGCTGTGGCCTGCCAAACAATTTCAGTCACTGCTCCCCTTTCCGAAACAACTCCCTGAAAACCAGAGGGACAAGCAACACACACAGGTTATCCCATCAAGGTCACTTTATTGACACAACAACGGACCAGACAGGCACACGGACAGATACAGGGGCGGGTTAGCTGGTCTGTGGTAGCTTCCTTCTATCCAAGCATGATATGTGTAGCTTCTTCAGTGGGGTGAGGAGGTGAACATGCCTCAATCCACTTCCCCACTTAGCATCTGCACGAGGTGGGAAGGGACACCGTGGAGAAAAGAAGGGGGTGATCGTAAGCTGTGTGGAAAGAGCAGAGCAGGAATTAACATCGTTGGCTAGTGGGTAGGACGAGGCAAACAGATTCATCCAGGTAAGCACACTCAAGCATCCCTCCTCCATTTTGTAAGCACGGCTTCTGTGCACGGTTCCTGCACATTCGGTCTTGCTTCGGACCACGGGGCTCTGTTCCTGCCAACCAGGTCCGACACGAAACATGCACAGCTCTCTCCCTCTCCACCCCGGCCCAAATTCTAGTCACCCAGCAACTCCATCCCAGACTGGCACAGCCCCCATCACCAGGCTGCTTTCTCCACCCTCCAAATTGCAGTCGTTTCCAGATTTATAAAGGAATTCCGTTTTCTGCCTTGAAATCCAAATAACTGCTTGTTCCTCTTCACCCAGCAAGGTGTGTTCCGTGTTACTCACCTCTTCCAGGTGTTGGCAGTTGTGGCAATAAGATTACTGCGGCGCTGTGGGAGGGGGGGAGAAGGAGAGGAACAGAGTATCAAGCAAGTGTTTTGGCGGACACATTTTTACTCTGTGAATGAGAAGGGATTGTGTTTTTCACTTCCACCAATCCCACTTGCCTATGCATATATGTGGGAAATACCGTATTTTTTGCTCTATAGGACTCACTTTTTCCCTCCTAAAAAGTAAGGGGAAATGTGTGTGCGTCTTATGGAGCGAATGCAGGCTGCGCAGCTATCCCAGAAGCCAGAACAGCAAGAGGGATTGCTGCTTTCACTGCGCAGCGATCCCTCTTGCTGTTCTGGCTTCTGAGATTCAGAATTTTTTTTTCTTGTTTTCCTCCTCCAAAAACTAGGTGCATCTTGTGGTCTGGTGCGTCTTATAGAGCGAAAAATGCGGTAAGTATGGAGTCCTCCTTTCTGCACTTCTAAGCAAACATCTTCCTGCAGAGGCTGTTGAACTTCAACTCCCATCAGCCAACAGGCATGGATGACGGGAGCTAAAGCCCAGGAACATCTGAAGGAACACATATCCCTCACCCTAAAGGTACAAGTGGAATGGTCAGGTTTAAACCTGGCAGTCTATATAACAACCGTAACTTCTACCCATTTTAGGGATGTGGGGTAAGCTTATGGAATGGCTGAGAGAAAGCTTCCCTTCACAAATCAGGGTTCTTGAACATTGCTGTTCAAGTTTCAGTTTCCGAAACAGATCCTGGGACTAAAGCTCTCCCATTCTCTCCTCTGTGCTCCACCATCCCTAGGCTGGGTATGTCGTTATTTTTAAAACAACGGCAGGAAAAAGGAATTTGAGCAATGACAACCCATTTCCCTTTAATGCTGCAGTCACCTTTGACCTCCAGCTTGCAGTCCACTATGGCCTCCCCCAGTTCATTGACGGCCTTGCAGGAGTAAGTGGCGCTGTCGAAAGGGCTCGGCTTGCGGATGTTGAGGGTCAGCACTCCCTGGTTGTTTTTCTGCAGGAACTTTGGGTCCCCGCTGATGTCCATTTTGTTCTTCATCCAGATTATTTTGGGCTGGGAAGAGACAAAGGGTGAGAAGAGATTAAAAGGAATCCAGATGAAAGGAATCCTGATCACCACACGCTCCGTTCTAAACCACCTTGTCATGTATCGAATTGTACCACCTCAGACGCTCAAAGGGGAAATGGTTGCAACCAAAATTGCGTGCAAAAAATCCCCAACCTATCAGTTTTAAGCATTAGCATTGAAAAGGATTTCAACCTTTTATCCCTGAAAATGAAGGTTTGTCACCCATGTGCTTAAAAAAAACAACAACCCCAAGTGTGCCAGATTCCAGGTGTCTTTCCAGCACTCAGTATCTAAAAAGAGTTCATATTTCAGCTTGACAATGCATCCCATCTGTAGTAAATCCAGGCTAGACCAACCTCTGCTTAAAAACCGCCAAGGAAGGAGAGTCCACAACCATTTCCACCATCAAACAGCTCTTACTGTCAGAAAGTTCTTCCTGATCTTTAGTGGGAATCTCCTTTCTGGTATCCTGAAGCCATTGGGTTTGAGTCCTACCCTCCAGAGCAGGAGAAAACAAGCTTGCTGCATCTTCTACGTGACAGCCCTTGAGATATTTGAAGATGGCTATCATATCTCCTCTTTTCCAGGCTAAACATACCCAACTTCCTCAACCGTTCCTCATAAGGCTTGGTTTCCAGACCTTTGATCATCTTGGCTGCCCTCTTCTGCACACATTTCACCATGTCTATATCCCGAAATTGTGGTGCCCAGAACTGGACGTAGTATTCCAGATGCGGTCTGCCCAATGTTTTATTGAGCATTGTGATTCGTTTGCAGGGTGGTTATAGGACATTAAGCACTCGTTCGGATTTGCTTGCAGGGGGTTCACATGCCTTCCTATTAAACATTCATTCCTTTCACTCCTTTCTGTGCACTTCTGCACTGCTTTTCCAAACTGCAAAAAACCCGAGCTTTTTTAAAGTGGATTTGTTGCTCCAGGGCAGCACTTTAATCCACTTTAACTGTGCAAACCTCAAAGTTTCTGTATGCGCTAGATTTCCTCCCACAAATTACTGACTGACACGCTGGAGGAACTCTTGGAGAAAATCAATTAAAACATGCCAGCAGAAAGGGGGGGCAGCCCTAGCAGCTGAGAGAAGGCTTAATCACCTCCCTCACAACACACTAATTATCACTGGTGGTACCTTGTCACCCTCCTTATGAGGAACAAAAAAAATGAATGGCTGGAGGCGAGGTAGGGGGGAAGCACAGGCATGTTTATTTTAATTAAATTAGCAGCATCTTCAAAATCATATTCACAGTATCTGACAATTATTGAGGCGTTGGTGTGAGTTGCTATTAAGAAAAATCCTCAGTTTTAATACTGGTTATAATTTACTGAATCTAAGGTTATTGTTTTCTTATTTGTAGCAACGCTATTTTTTTTAAAAAGCGCAACATTTTGGAAGTACCATCCTTAGTCCACTGTTCACTTTCCCCGTCTTCATGCTTTCCCCTCCTCCAGTTATCTCACATCCCTCTCAGCGCCACATTTCTAGTCTTTTGATAACAGCCACTCCAAACAACTCGACATCATCCCTTTTCGCCTCCTCACTCAGCACTTACTTTAGGAAATCCTCTCACAGCACAGTTCAAGGCAGTGGTGTACCCAGCCACGACTGTCCGGTCTACCAGGGGCGTCATGAACACAGGGGCATGGCTGAAGTCGTGTTCCTTGTAGTTTAGCTGTTTACAGATTATTCCTGAAAGGGAAGGGGGAGGGAGGAAAACAGCAAATCCATCAGCGGATCTTAAAGGTACAGGTTAAAGGGGCCCCTGACCATTAGGTCCAGTCATGACCGACTCTGGGGTTGCGGCGCTCATCTCGCTTTATTGGCCAAGGGAGCCGGCGTACAGCTTCCAGGTCATGTGGCCAGCATGACTAAGCCGCTTCTGGCAAACCAGAGCAGCGCACGGAAACGCCGTTTACCTTCCCACCAGAGTGGTACCTATATATCTACTTGCACTTTGACATGCTTTCGAACTGCTAGGTTGGCAGGAGAAGGGACTGAGCAACGGGAGCTCACCCCATCGCAGGGATTCGAACTGCCGACCTTCTGATCGGCAAGCCCTAGGCTCTGTGGTTTAACCCACAGCACCACCTGCGTCCCTAAGCGGATCTTAGGGATGGGCAAATTGGGATGCAAGGCCTACTATACGCACAGACCCGGGAGTAAATCATAGAACTGGAGAGTTGGAAGGGATCCCAAAAATCATCTGGGAATCTCAACTGAAGCATCCATGACAGACGGCCATCCAGCCTCTGCTAGAAGGAAAGCCTCTCGAGGGAGACTGTCGAACAGCTCTTAATGTCCCTTTGAAGCTTTCTGTAAACCGCTTTGAGGATTTTTACAATCAAGCAGTGTGTATGAAACAAACTCAACGGGGTTTACTTCTCAGGCAGACATGCATAGGATTGCATTGCCAGCTAATTTCTAGTCTGCGTCATTCTCACATGTTGGCTTTCGTGTTTTTGGGTATTAAACTGCCAACGGTAGTTGCATGAAAATTCGCATTTAAATATACATTCATGAATGTAGTGGTACCTCAGGTTAAGTACTTAATTCGTGCCAGAGGTCCGTTCTTAACCTGAAACTGTTCTTAACCTGAAGACCACTTTAGCTAATGCCTCCCGCTGTTGCCGCGCTGCCAGAGCACGATTTCTGTTCTCATCCTGAAGCAAAGTTTTTAATCTGAGGTTCTATTTCTGGGTTAGTGGAGTCTGTAACCTGAAGTGTCTGTAACCTGAAGCATATGTAACTCGAGATACCACTATATATTATTTTCTCTCAAAATAGTATTATTATTATTATATTATTATTATTATTATTATTATTAACATTAACATTTGTTAGTCACTTTATCTTGCCCAAGGCAACCCAGAACGACTTACGACCAAAACATCTAGCCAGTATGCATTGCATGAAGTAGCCCAAAACCGTGGGTCTGGTTTCAATCCTATACAGACTTAACCTGGGGTAAGTCCCGTCTCCAGCTGGCCCCGAACCACAACTCCAATCACCCCTAGCCAGCAGGACCAGTGGTCAGGGACGATGGGAACCGCAGTCCAAAAACAGCTAGAGACCAGAGCCTGGAAAGCCCTGGTTCGAATGAATATTTCTCCTCAAAATATACATCTTAATGTCTTTTGATGCCTTTTTTTTTGAACCAAGAACTGCATCAGAGCATTCAGAAGCGTGAAAGCCAGCAGTTAACACAGTTCCCTTCTGTGAATTAGCCTGGAAGGTGCAGACCACAGCCCCTTCTGCTAAGCCCTGGTGGTCCCATTCCCCGACCATTAGAGCAATTGCCAGCCACCATCTGGTTCTACCGCATTTACCAGATTTCTGAATGTGGGCAGTGTTTTTGGAGACCCCGGGAGCTTCGCTAAGCCCACAGATGTTCTCGCTGTAGACTCGGAAGTAGTATTCGTTGCCGATGATGAGGTCAGACACCGTGCAGCGGGTGAGGCGGTT